GGCTAAAGGGAGTCCTTTGGTCTGAAATGAAAGGACACTAGACAGTAACTCAAATCCACAAGAAGAAATCAAGAATACCAGTGAAGGAAACTGAATACATAAATATAAAAGTCAGTATTAATGTATTTATGATTTGTAACTCCCCTTTTTTCCTATATGATTTAAAAGACAACTACATAAAACAATACTTATAAACTATTTCAAACCATACAGAATTACCTTAGAACTAAATAGCAAAAAGATATCTGGAAAATGCCCAAATATTTTGGAAATTAAACAACACACTCTTAAACAATGAATAGGTCAAAGAAGAAATCACAGAGAAATTAGAAAATACTTTGAGATAAATGAAAACAAAAACACAACATACCAAAACTTATGGGAAGCAGTGACAGCAGTGTTCACATGGAAATTTATGGCTTAAACGCCTACATGTAAAAAGAACAAAGATCTCAGATCAATAACCTAACCTTCTATCTGAGGGAACTGGAAAAAGAGGATCAAACTAAACCCAAAGCAAACAAAAGGAAGGAAATAATAAAGATCGGAACAGAGATAAACACAATAGAGAACAGAAAAATAATAGAGCAAATCAAGAAAACCAAATTTGGTACCTTGAAAAGATCAACAAAATTGACAAACCTTAACTAGACTCACCAAGAAAAAAAGATTAATAAATTACTAAAATTAGAATTAAATTGGGGACATTTTACTACTGACCTTACAGAAATAAAACAATTCTAAGAAAATGAACAACTTTATGTCAACAAATTAGATAACCTAGATGAAAAAGATAAATTCCTAGAAACACATGAACTACCAAAGCTGAATCAAAAAGAAACAGATAATCTAAATAGATTTATTACAAGGAAAGAGATTAAATCAGTATTCAAAAAGTTTCCAGCAAAGAAAATCGCAGGACCAGACAGCTTTACTGGTAAATTCTACCAAAAATTTAAACAATTAACACCAATCTTTCTCAAAGTCTCCCAAAAAAATTGAAGTGGAGGGGCTACTCCTAAATTCATTCTATGAGGCCAGTATTACTCTGAAACCAAAGCCAGACAAAGATATAACAGGAAAACTGCAGACCAATATCTCTTATGATCATAGATGCAAAAATCTTCAAAAAATACTAGCAAACCAAATCTAGTAGCATATTCAAATGATTATACTCCACAATGAAGTGGTGTTTATACCAGAAATGCAAAGATGGTTTAACATATATAAGTCAATCTATGCAGTACACAACATTAGCAGAATGAAGATTTTTTTTAAAAAATCATCTCATTTGATGCAGAAAGAGCATATGACAAAACCCAACAACACCCTTTCATGACAAGAAAACTTCAAAATTCTAGAAACAGGAAAGAACTTCCTCAATCTGATACAGGACGTCTATAACATTTAATGGTGCAAGACCAAAAGCTTTCCCCATAAGATTAGGAACAACACACAAGAAAGTCTGTTGTCATCATATTATCATATGGCTAGGACTGGAAGTTCTAGTCAGGCAATGAGATGAAATAAAGGAATAAAGGGAGGGAGGGAGGGAAAGAAAAGGAAGAGAGGGATGAAGGGAGGGAGGAGGGCAGGCATCTAAATTAGAAAGAGGTAAAACTATCTTTTATTTGTAGATATCATAATCTTATATACAGAAAGTCTTAAAGAATCCACAAAAAAGTTATTAGAGCTAATAAATTCAGCAAAGTTGCAGTATACAAGATCAACACCCAAAAATCAGTTATATTTTCATATGATCAATTGATTTGTCAATTGATATAGTCAACTGATTTTCACTAAGGCTACTAAGATTACTGAATGGAGGGAAAGAACAGTCTTTTTAGTAAATGGTGCTGGGATAACTGGATATCCATGAAAAAGAGTGAAGTTGGATCCTTGCATCATACCACATACAAAAATTAACTCAATATGGACAAAAGACCTAGATATGAGAGTTAACACTATAAAACTCTTTGAAGAAAACATAGGGTAAAATCCTCATGACCTTGGATTTGGCAATGCATTCTTAGATATGAGACCAAACACATGAGCAACAAAAGAAAAAACTGGACTTCATCAAAGTTCAAAACTTTTGTTGATCAAAGGACACGAACAAAAGAGTAAAAAGACAACCCACAGAATGGGATGAGGGGGTACAGGAGTGACTGCTTAATGGCTACTGGGTTTCTTTTGGGGGTGATAAAAATATTCTGGAGTTAGATAGTTGTGATGGTTGCACAACATTGTAAATACATTGAAAGCCACTGAACTGTACATTTTTTAAATGGTTTAAATGGTGATTTTTTTTAAAGTTCAATAGTTATGTTTTTTCTAAAATACAAAAAGTAGTTCAGAATTCAACTAAATAGAAAAGTGTGTGTATTAAAAAAAATGTACCTCATGAAAAGTTGTAATGATTTTGTTTTTCTCTTTGTCTTACTTTTCTTAACCCCAAATAACCTGAAATAAGCCCCCAAAAAGTTTCTTAATAAAAAGTTAACTTCTGGCCTATATTTAAAACAGCAATAAATAAAATATATTTAAATGTAATTTTTTTTAAAAAACTTCTGTTTCTTTGAAAAAAACAGTATATGCTTTTAAATAAAAAATGACTAGCCTTCTTTATTAAATACTAGTATCAGTCCCAAATGGGATTTTAAAAATAATATACAGTAAACAGCTGTGTATAATACAGTTTTAGGATTTGAAAAGTTGAATGTTAATGCGTCAAAGTTAAAAATTAACAAATATCCAAAAAGTAATCACTTTTCCTGAAAGCAAACATGTTTAGTTTAAGTTCTTTAAAGTACAAGAAAATAATTTCTACATGAAAGTAAGTTCTTTTTATTTGATTATTGTGTCAGAAGTTAGTATTAAAATTCAATTCAGCAGGTTAAAATTTGGTTTTATTCTAGAATAACTGGTGCATACCTTGCAAACGTATGTGGTTCAGAAATATGAATAGCTATACTATTTGACTATGTACAGTAAACTATGCTGAAGAGGTTGGATGTAACCCCAGTCATTTTTACTGTACCATGAAAGAGCCTGGACCCTCCTTCTATACTACTCTTAGATTCTCCAAGACAGCAAAATGCCACTGGACAGTCCACAGTGGCCAAAAAAAATAAACCTGCAAACTCTGGCTTGAAGACAGGTGGGCTGCACCTTCCTGAGAGCTTCAGAGGTACCCTCTGGGTCTCTTCCTTATCACCCATTCATTGTCACCCATACTTCGTAGAAAAGAGAATTAGCCCAATAATCAATTAGCCTTTCCTAAATTTTCACTTCAAGCTTGAAAAGTAATTGATAATTTTAAAATCACTATACATATAGAAATTTCCAGAGACTTAAATCAAAATAACTAACTATTACATCTGAAGGGAGATTAAAAAGCCATACAGCAAAAGTAAATCTACAGTGGTTGTAGGCCAATTCTGCAGACATCTTTCTTTCCATATGACACGAAAATCAAAAGAACTGCAAATGAAGAAGTGTATGATTACAACTGTCCTGTTGCAATCAGTCTATATTGTATTTAAAATACATATTTTGCCATTCTCATAATGAAAGGGTAAGGTACAACATTTATATTTCACATTGATGATGGTTTTCGTTTGATATCAAAGTCCATTCCCAAAACAGCTGCTAACCAACATTACTTTCCTCTGTCTGGGGAGATGACAAACAATTGATTTCAAAGGCAACATTAACTGGTATAAAAAGGTATGCCATATACATGACATAATTTATTTTTCCTATCGAAAGTCTCACCATATACCAAAAAAAATCTAACCAAAGATGTCTCTTTTCCTACAAACCTAAATTTCAGATTTCTAGCATGTATGGATTTGATGTGATTATATTTAAACTATACCGACAGGCTAAATTTTTTTAAGTGGGAAGGAGGAGAAATCACAATTTCAAATAATATTGCTTAAAAATAGCACTCAGAGTATTAGATTCCTTTTTTCAGAATACTCTCTGTGAGTCACTTTTTGCTAGTCACTTTCAATATCAAAGAATACAGAGGTCCATTGTTTTTAAAATGTTAAAATGTATTAAACATGTTTATTGATGTTATTTTGTATTTCCTTAACAGGATTAGTTTTTAGGATATTTTTAAGTGATTTTAAAACTATATTGTATAAAAAATTTGATTCACAAAATTATTCTAAATATGATTCATTCATAAATTCCATATACCTTAAAAGTACTAGGTATTTACATTATTCCAACAAATTGTCTGTTAAATAATAACAGAAACAAATAACATTTCTCTACTTTTAAATAATGAAATAATGAGACATCTTTGAATCTGGAGTGCTAACAAAGTACACAGTCAGTATTGAGTCAATACTTAACGATATTAAGTTTTTAGTAATATTGTAATATCCTTATTATGTTGTTCATCACTATAAACTAAAAGTCAATTTATCATACAGAAGTAATCAGATTGAAAATAACAGACTATTATTAAGTATATTCAATTTCTACTTTAAGAATACATTCCTATAAAAAGGTAAATTACAACTTGAAAAACATTACTGCCTAGGTTAAGGTATATGAGTACTGCCAAATACAATACTTTATGTCTCTCTCTCTATATTAATATATGTATATAGGATAGTAGGTTTAAGAGTGGTAAGAGGTTAGACAGTGTGGTCAAACATTTTATTATTATGAGACATATATGAATCTTAATGACCTTTAGTTCAGTCAGCAAAGACCACAAATAACTCAAGTGCAATTATACCAGTTTGGGGAAAACACTATTTTCATAGTTTTATCACATACATAAAGTGAATTCTGAAAAAAGTTATGCAATATAGCATTGTTCAATACAAATTTTCAGTCATTTGAAAGGATCCTTTTGTTAATTTATTTTTAAAGAAAGCTACAAAATGAATTAAAGTACTTTACAGTTAATAAAATTAATGACTAGGAGAACTGTGTCATAATACAATTTGAACAATATTGAAGAAAAATTATAATACCTTATGAAGCACATTTTCTACTGTTCTCATATGATTAGCAACACATTCTTTGTCCCTAGAAACAAAATAAATATTAGGTGTTAGTAAAACCCAAACCTTACTATAATTGTAACACATTTTAGTATAAGTGACTATTACTGAAAAATAAGGGTTGGTTTTTCCTGAAGTGTAAAACCTAACCATATTCACTAGTATATTTCCGCTTTTAATTCTTATCTTCAGTTATACTGCCTGCCAAAAATTAGAGGGGGGAATAATTCTTATGGATATTTTCAAAGTTAAAAGAGAGTGAAAAAGAAAGAAAGAAAAAAAGAAATCATGTGATTACATTATTGATTTACAATGTGCTGAAAAGGCTAAACGTGCATTCTTTTGGCTTCTAATGAAAAAGACTTTAGAAATACTAGTGCTGGAGATATAAATGGTCATACTGGGCACAATAATATTTTCCCTTCTCCATGGGTTTTTTGTGCTATAATCATTACACAAAAACCTTCTATGGCCTTGACTAGAAATATGCAAAGTTACTATTTTCTTCTCTAGCCTTGTATATTGAGTTTAGCCTTTATGATGAAATTAAAAGTTGGGATGAGAATGCTGAAGACAAAATTTTAATGGTGAATTATAAATTGAAAACTGTAAATAATGTATTAGCTCTCCAAATTTCAAATTAGCTTTCTTTAGCTTTCTTATAAGCACATGTGCCCATGGTCACAGATCTCAGACTTGACAAATTCCTGAATTACCAGCAGTATTCTGAAGGCACAATATGAATCTAGAGGTTTTATAATTTTGTTTTCATTAATCTTAGAATTTTCAATGCTCTGAGATGTACTAAAAATTACCTATGCTAAGCTTCTCATTTGACATGAGGAAACTGAGACTGAAAAATGACAGCAAAAAGCTGATTCAGTCAAACTTATATTTTTTAAAAATGACAATTACATATAACCAATATGGTAGTGCACTGTTATAGAGCCTTACAATTTTCCAAAAATGTATTGGTGGGTATTCAAAATGCCAATATTATGGCATTGTGTAAACTCATTTTTTCATTATGTGTGAGCAATATCCCAAGTCCACTGACAAAGCTGTGGGTATCCTAGGATTGCAAACTGCCCGTTTTATGATTTAGTTTACACATTACATTCATATTTCTTATGTTATGCTTAACAAGAGTTTGTCTCCAAACATTTTTCAGTTATAGTTATACATTTGCAAATATATATATACATACATATATGTATATGTGTGTATGTATTTGCAAGTACAGGAATCCAGAATTCCAAATTTAGAAAACACTGAGTTTATTAAAATTAGATGTTTAATCCATAAATAGATTTTCTTTAAGCCATGCAGTTGTAAAAAGGACTGTCTTAAAGTACTCCATGAAATTTGATGTGGGGAACAAATAAAAATACCCAAGAGAACTATTCAATTTGAACTTCACAGTGTATGTCAACTTGATTACCTGGTAAAAGGAAAAACACTCTCATCACAGTTACATAGTTGCCCACTCTGAAAACTGCATATTCTTCTCTATTTAACATACTTGAATATACAGCTATAAAATTAAATGAATTTTCCATGAAATTTTCCATGAAAATTTTCCATGAAAATTTTCCATGAAAATTTTCCATGAATTTTCCATGTTTTTCCAAGAAAACATATTCCAGCAATATGTTTTTACTGCACTTAAAAAGATGCTACAATACACATGTTGATTATATACTAACATTTCTTTATGGAAATATTACTTGCAATATTAGTATAATATATGCAGAAGAAAATTTGGGAGGCAGTGGGGCAGAAAGGGATGAGAAATATGTGACATGAGAAACTATTCAAAACTTTAAAATAAAGAGTCTTATATCTCAAGTTAATGAAAACCTGATTTCAAACATGTAATGCTACAACAGAACCTAAAATACACAGCATTAGAGGTTATATAGAAACTTATTCTTTTCTAAGGTTTCTCAATAAAATATACATTTAGTATGTTAAGAGTTTTCTTTTTTGAGGATATATCAGAGAATTTCAAAGAGAGACAGCTGTACTTTTGTTTTCTAACACTGTATTATCCAGGGCTAAAACCCAGAGCATGAAAGTAAGAATTGATCTTTTGTCTGTTTTAAGTGATCTCCCCAAGGTCCAAATGCTCACTTGGCTGCCATGCGGAGGGCACTCTCTGCATCATGGATGTTCTCCTCCAGTCGACGCTTGTCCTGCTCCAGCTGGGTAAGATGTCTATTGAGCTGACGCAGAGATTGATCTTTTCTTCTCAGCTCCATCTTTGCCTCGGAGAGACTCTGCAAGCAGACAGAAAACAGAGTTACCTGTCAGCCCTGATAATTAACTTCAATTTATGCCATAGGCTATTAAACAAAGAAGGATACAGACTGACTGAGAAGTAGACTTGGGTCATTACACATCAAGGTTTAACAAATTTTCTGCAAAAAATTTTACATACTTACTAATTAGAAATGATAGAACTGATAAGATTTTGAAAAATGTTTAGCTGCAAAATACAGCTCTGTTTTGTTTTTTTAAATACTACAAGGCAAATACATTCTATTCTTACGAAAAATATCTGATTATTAAAAACCTCAGGTTGCATTTTCTTTTAATGATAAAAAATAAAGATTTCAATGGAAAAAGCACATGAAATTTAGAGTCTATTTAAAACAAGAACTATCATATGCCAAAGTATGTGTGTGATGGAGAGGAAGGTAGATTAGGATACCTTTAAGAGAATGGGGAACCCAAAATTTAAAAGCACCACTACTCTCTTTTTAAATGTATCAATAACAGTTATGTTGCTATACACATCTCAGTGAACAAACACACTGGACTCGAAAATAAAATTCACTTATTTCCCATAAAAAACTCTCATGTCAGAGAAAACACAAACGTGATCAACATGTTTCAACAGAGAGAGTTACAAACAATACTTGCATTTGGAATTATGTTCCGTAAATATTTTCCTAGTCATAGAAATATAAAATTTGTTGATTGATATTTGCTATGTGCTTTAATCTGAAATATTCACTTAGCACAAAAATTTCAAGATAGAAGAGTATAATTTCATCTTGGAACTTTAAGGCTAAAGGTCTTAGACTCAAAAACTCTTAAGTTAAAGGAGTATTTTCTTATTTAAAATTCTAGGATGTAAAACAATATAGGGATCAGAGGATCTCTTAGCACTAAAAATCTGCTCATTCCTTTGCCTATGAAATTTCTAGCATATGAGCTTATCAACCAGTTTTTCAATTAAGTTTGTTGGACAGTGAACTAAATAATTGATTGCATACACATAATATTTTTTCTTCTTTCTCAGAGTGTAGCCACACATTAACATTCACAACTATGCTTCAAATACCCAGTAAAGAACAACCAAGATGCAATAATTTCATGTTTAAAACTTTTCCAATAATATTATTTTAATGCACTCACAATAAGTAGTATAAAAACTCAAGCTGCCTGCGTGGAGCTAAAACAATTAATTCACTCTGAACAATATGAATTGAAAGCAAAACCAGGTTGTTGTTTTTTTTAACATCTTTATTGGAGTATAATTGCTTTACAATGGTGCGTTAGTTTCTGCTGTATAACAAAGTGAATCAGCTATATGTATACATATATCCCCATATCCCCTCCTTCTTGCATTTCCCTCCCACCCTCTCTATCCCACCCCTATACGTGGTCACAAAGCACCAAGCTGATCTCCCTGTGCTATGCAGCTGCTTCCCACTAGCTATCTATTTTACATTTGGTAGTGTATATATGTCAATGCTACTCTCTCACTTCATCCCAGCTTACCCTTAAACCAGGTATTTTTAAATGCTAAAAGAAATTTAATTCAGCATTTCACTTTCAAACAGTCAAGTTGCTGTCACACAAATACAAGTCAAGGAACTAGAAATAAGCAAACTGTGACTATTTTTTAGATATTATGTTTTATTTCAAATCTTTAGTACTAACAGATCTTTAAGTATATCCCACTATGGAAATAGCCACTGATTCAAACCAACTTAAAAAGACAACAAAGAATAGATTTGAAAAGCTATGCTAAACCTACTTATTTTGTGCCAATGTTAAGATATTTAAAGGCACTGAAGTATCATGAGATTTCTTTCTTTGAAAAAATAAAACCCATTTGAGTCCTTTTAAAGGCAATATTTCTGACATCTTTCAGGTAATAAAAAATGCTGTTTTTCAGATGTGAATATAAAATTAATGATCCACCACCAGTTACACATAAAGCTTGAGTTCTTTTTCCAACAGAAATAATAGAATGTGCCACTCCATTCAAATTCTCTTGCTCAGTAGTTCTTATGAGTTGAGGTGTATATTTGTGAGGGGTGTTCAGGATATTGATTCCAGCCTCACCCAGAGCGAAGCTCACTGGTCCAATCTGTGAGAACCCATGACCTTAAAATCACTATAAAACCATACTTGACTTTTCAGCAGTTCTATGATCTCCTTCCAAAGAAGATATAACTCATAGAATTAGAATCGCCACTATATATCTAAATCTTCCAGTTTCCATCAGCTTTCATCTCCTTCTCTCAGGGGCAATGGCAGGGAGCCACCAAACTCTTCTAAAGCTTGCACTATTTCAGAGGTACAGCTGAATAGCCTACTCTAAGACTGAAATTACAGACAACAAACAAAAGAATGGTATAAATAGGTGATACGGATCATACTTCCTTAGTGTAAAAATGAAGAGATAACAGTTTTTGAAAAAAGAATAATCATAGTTATATAACTTATGGACACAGCATTCTCATTTTAAAGAGCTGAGGAACATCACAATGGAATCTATATACATCAATGAGTCCTAAGGTTCGTGGTGATGTATGCAAAACACCAAGACATAAAAAGTGATTCAGTAATATGTCTTTTCTCTGATGTTCACATTTTTGTGTTTGACGACAAAAGCAGAATCCTTAAAAATCCTAACACTAAGCTTTAAAAAAAGAAAAACAAATTCATGTGTGTGTGTATATATATGATGTATATACATACGTACCTATACCATATGTAATATATATTAGACACATATAAAATTTTAACTTCAGCTTTTCTTTTCTCCCGTTCAGATTTATCTAATTAAAACCCATGATAAACTTTATGGACTCTAATATTTCCAACTGAAGGACTGAAACCAAGAGGGTGTACCTCTGGGCAGCTAGGCAATGATGATAAGCAAGCAGGTTAGCCACTAATTTCTCAACCAGGGCAGACTGTGAAAGTCTGATGTCCTGATATCCAAGAAACTGTTCAGGGGAGAATAGGATAAATCAAGTTTAATAACTCTGCTCCTAATTGTTCCCCCAATGCTCAACTCTAATTACTTGGAGAACTCTCCTGACTGTCACCTGATATTAAGTTGTTGGAGGCTGAGCCTGGAACAGCAAGATAATCAATAAACATTTAGTGGGGAGAAGAATGAAGATCCTGTTAAGCAGTGGGAACCTGCAGCACCCAAAGCCCTTCTGCTCATGAGAAAACCTATGGGACAACCATAGCGATTGCAAAGCAATAATCCGAAGCACTGTTTTTAGGCCTTGAGGCCTTTAGGCAACAGTACATTTGAGGAAAAAAGGTTAACACGGTCACCCTAATTACAGCCCACTTTCACATACTTCATATATAAGCGAAGACAAGCCAATTAGGTAGAAAGGAAGATAAGGGAAGTTTTATTTGTATACTAATTAAACCCCTGATGAAATTAAAGGAAAAACATACAGCTCTGTAATTGTGTCTGAGAAAGGTCACTTCAGGTTCAGTTATCAGAACAGCACAGCCTTAAGATATTTCACTTAATCCACAATACAGCCCTCATTTTGTACTGAGGTCTTAGTATTTACCAAAAAAAAAAAAAAAAAAAAAAAACATTCAAAGCCTGATACTGCATTTATCTTTAAACTACGTTTTGAACAATTTTAGCTGCTAGAAAGTTAATGCTAAAAATGGTAACAAAAGTTTAAAAGAAAATATGCCATCTACACAAGAACCAATGCCACAATACTATTTATCAAACATTCCAAGTTTTCACTTTAAATCCAAAATGCTTTAAAGCAAAATTTTACAGCAAAATCCCAAGCTTACTGTATTTCAGAAGCTACTCTGTAAGATATTTATTGTATTTCTTTTAAGATAATGATCTCATTGCTCATGTACACCTCTCATAGTCCAGGAAAAAAAGCCAATGCTTTCACTCTTTTTTACTCTTCAATGCTTTCAATGCTTTTTTACTCTTCAATGCTTTCAATGCTTTTTTACTCTTATAAGAAGATAGTTTTACAACTGGTTGTTTTCCTAAGATGGTCATGAAAAGCTATGTACTACTAATGAAAGCCGGCAACGGGACTTCCCTGGTGGTCCAGTAGTTAAGAATCCGCCTTCCAATGCAGGTGATGCAGGTTCGATTCCAGGTCGTGGAACTAAGATCCCACATGCTGCGGGGCAACTAAGCCCGCATGCTACAACTGCAGAGCCCACATGCCACAACTACAGAGCCCGCGTGCCACAACTAAGACCTGACACAGCCAAAAATAATAAATTTTAAATAAATAATGAAAGCTGGCAGGAAAAGTATGGATACCAAGGAAGTAGTTAAGTATAGAGAAAGCTTAGGGACAGAATACAGGATAGATGTGAATATTAAAATATCCACACATTTTTAAAATGTCTTTTCTTATCTAGAGTTTCTGAAGTTTCTATAATAAACATATGTTACTATTGAATAAGAACAAATTATTTTCTTAAGTCATACATAATTTCATATTTCTAAAGCTTTAAACATTTATTAAGGTTAACAATTTTTTTAAATTAATTGTGAATATAAATTGAAATTCTATTACTTTGCACCTATGAAAACATTTTGTACAGTGGAATTTTTTAATAACAGTTTTATTGAGACATAATTCACATAATTCACACTTTTAAAGTGTACAATTCAGTGGGTTTTATTATATTCACAAAGCTGTGCAACAATCACCAATGGAGGTGGTTTTTTTGTTTGTTTGTTTGGTTGGGTTTTTTTGCGGTACGCGGGCCTCTCACTGTTGTGGCCGCTCCCGTTGCGGAGCACAGCCTCCAGACGTGCAGGCCCAGCGGCCATGGCTCACGAGCCCAGCCGCTCCGCAGCATGTGGGATCTTCCCAGACTGGGGCACGAACCCGTGTCCCCTGCATCGGCAGGCGAATTCTCAACCACTGCGCCACCAGGGAAGCCCTGGAGGTGTTTTTTGAAGAGAAGTTCTTAAAAAAAAAAAAACTTATCAAAACAACATGGCAACCTA